GTTTAAAGAACACAGATTTGGTTAAAATAAGTTGATCTGCAATTAGGCATGAGGGGGATGCTGTCATTTTGAGCATATATAGTAGGCAGGTGGGGCAGAGTTGGGTTGATACCCAGAGTTTTCCAGGAGGACTGTCTGGAGAGCCACTGACAGCTAAGGAACGAAAGAGACAGTTGTCATACCCCTCTCCAATTTGACCACTTGAGTGGCATTGCATTTCTGTGTGCTTTGTGACTTATTTAATGCTATCCTTATCTGACACAGTGAAACTCTGGAAAGATTAGCCATGGATTTTTATTTTCCTACTTTCATTGTCAACCATACTCTTTGTTGTGTATAAATTTCAGTTTTTTAGTATCTGGAAAATCTGGCCCAAATTTCAAAGTTGTGTGGTCTCTTGGAATGTTTATTTACTTTTTTCTAAATTTTAGCTTTGTCATATCATCATCATCATCATCATCATCATCATGTGATTAGGATGTTATTTATTGTACTAACCACTTTTCTGTAATAAAACACACTGAGGATTTATAACAGTCTACAAGGCAGAGAATTATTACACATGAGTGTGATAAGATGCAGAGAGGCTAATTAATCATGAAATCAGGTACTGAATCATGTACATCTGAACTTTACACTCAGGGAGAAACCATGTCTTAAATATCCATACACTGTAGTGTCTGTCATCATGAAGTGGAGGCATCAGTCATGTTATGCTGCAGTAACAAAAATCCCCACAACTTCTTGGCTGAAACCCACAAAATTTCTTTCGTGCTTTATTATGCATATTATCTGGAAGTCTGTTCAGCCTCTCCCAGACTGAATGTGCCTGACAAAGCAGGTGTTCTTTGGAGAGCTGGCATTTATTTCTGTAGAGAGAAAAGGCTTGAGTAGGGTGCAGTGGGCATCTCAACCTTGGCATCCTTAGCTTTTGGAATGAATTATTTTGTGGGAGCTCTGTCCTAGCCATTGTCTGCTGTTTAGTGGCTTCCCTGGATTTATCCAGTAAGTGCTGGTAGGCTTTCTCCTGGCTCCATTGCACAAACCTAGAATTGCTAAACATTCCCTGGTGACAACATATTCCTAGTTGAAAACCACTACCTTAGACTAAGATCTCAGACTGGTGATGAAACTCTCTGCCTTACATTGACCCAAATCTCAAGTACTCTCATGAATCTACCTAACTACAAGCAAGGCAGGAAATATATTTTACAGAGAGACAGGGAAAACCAGAAAAAAATGGTAAGCAGTGTTAATGTTTATCTTAGACAAAAATAATGCTGCTTTAAGGATTGTTCTACAGATTAAATGACATTCAGATTTCTTAGTGACAATTAGAATAGGAGTTGCAAACCCTCTCAAAGTCCAGCATGTTTTGGTAAAGTTTATTTATTTATTTAATTTTATTTTTAACTTTTACAAAAACTTTACTGAGAATTTCATACATGTATGTAAGGTGTTTTGATCAAATCCATTCCCTACTCCCTCCCAACACCTCCCATATCTCCCCATCACTTTTTTCTTTTTTTTCTTTCATTTATTTATTTCTATGGGGCTTTTGGGTACTCTAACATTCCCCCCTCTGAAGA